TCTTTGCATACATTTTCCCCACATGACTTAGTAAAGATATTCCTCTATAAGTTCCACATTCTCTCTTGTTTCCTTTTTTCTTCCAGATAGGTACTACAACTGATCTTTGCCAATCCACTGGTACCTTTCTCTCTGCCCATGCTCTATTGAAAATTCTCTCCAGCCAGGTGATCATAGTGTCCCCCTCCAGCCTGGATGACTTCTGTTGTTATTCCGTCAATACCAGCTGCTTTGTGTCTTTTACTTGTTTTGATAACTTTCTCTACTTCATCCCGCAGGATATGTGGTTCTAGATGATCTGGAGCCCTTGAATGGAATTCTGCTGTTTCATGTACTCCCGACGGGTTCAAAAGTTCTTTAAAATATTCCTCCCATCTTTTTTTAATTTCTTTTTGGCTGAATAATGGTTTTCCATTTTTATCGTTCATGACTGATGTTGGATTGAAGCTTTCTTCTCTTAATCGCATCGCTTTCACACTCTTATAAAAGTTTCTTGGTGATTCTGTACATAGCTGTGTTAGGTGTTCACCATACTTTTTCCATGATTCCTCTTTGGATTTCTTTATTGTTCTCTTGGTGTCTCTTCGAGTTAGTCTGTACCTAATGTAATCCTTTTTGTCTTTTGTTTTTAACCATATTTGAAACATCTTCTTTTTATTTGACACTGCTTCTTTGACTTCTTCATTCCACCAAGCGGTACCCTTTTTCTTGCCTTTGCCCGTCTTTCTGGTACCACACTTATCTTTTAATATCTTCGTGATGGTTGATTTATAATAATCCCATTCTTCTTCAATTCTTACTGGTTCCTTGGCAATATCTGCAAAAGCCTTTGTTATTTCTAGTTCAAATTCATGTTTGATATTCTCTTCCTCTAATTTCTTAGTGTTGATGATTTCTTCACGTTTCTGTTTATGTAGACTGTTTCTACTTGAGTTGGATATGTTCATAACTACTGGGCCATGGTCTGAATCCAGTCCCGCATTTGGGACAGCTTTTGAGTCTCTTACCGTCCTCTTCTGCCGTTGTCTGACTAGTATAAAATCAATTTGTGACGCTTGATCTAAGTTGTTCCACTTGTACCACGTTTTAACCTGACTTTGGCGATGTTGGTAGAATGTGTTGGTAATGTAGAGATCTTGTTCAGCACACAAGTTTAACAGGTGTTCTCCATTTCTATTGCAATCTGTGGTTGTGTCGCTGAATGGGCCAAGGTATCTCTCCCATGGTGATCTTCTTTTACCTACCCTACCATTAAAATCTCCCATTACTATGATGTCCTCTTTCTCTTTAACATTATTGATGGTGTCCGTAAGTCTCTCGTAAAAAGTCTTCTTTGTCTTCTTCAGAATAACTATCGTTGCAAGGTGCATATATCTGAATAATCGTTGTAGTTTTACTTCCTTCTGTCAACTTGATTAAAATAATTCTTTCTGATATAAATTCTGTTCCTGTTATTAATTTTGCTGTCTCGGGATGAAGTATAAATCCGACACCATGTTTTGCCCTATCTTTAGTGGGTACTCCGCTCCATAATAAAACATAATTTTCATGTATTTCTTTTGTATTATATCCTTTCTTTCTTGTATCCGCAAGACCCATGACGTGTATATTTTTTCTTTTCATGAAATCCACTATTTGTGGCTCTTTGTTGGCAATACCACATATGTTCCATGTGCCTATGTAAGTCGTTTTCTGTCTCGTCGTCCTTTTAACGTTTCCAGTCCATTTTTCCGTTTGGGGCTGTCCGTTTATTTATCTCCTTTCTAATTTTCGTAGCAATAAAAAAATCCACTGCCGGCTTGCTAGGCCAGTCGCAGTTTAAGGGAAAATCTGACCAGATGGACCCCATCCCATCTGGCGAGCCAGAGCCTCGTTCGCCTGTGGCCTCACGGCCACAGTTTCCCGGTCTGCACCACTGGGAGGAGAGGTTGACTTATGTGTACTGTGGGTCATCGGCAGGCTACTAATTTTCACTTTTCACCTCTCCTAAGAGAAGCTAGCCGACCCCAACCCTGCTGGATGCAGAGCCAGGCACAGTCCACACCTTGCAGACTGGTTCCATGCTGACCTTGGCTATTTATAAATTCTGATGACTTGTCCATTGATAAAGACTTTTGTCAAACAGTCTTTTGTACTTGTGCACCTTTTCCATTGCCTTTTTTGTGTTGTATTTAATACCTCTCTTGTCATAATAAACTAGCCCATGCCCAGGTCATTAAATAAATGTTATGTACGTTTGTTTCCTGTGTGGGTTCTGGAGCCTTCTTGTGATGGAAAACAAAAACTGTCCAATGACCTCTAACAAGCTTGTCATAAATGTTGACTATTATGGGTATTTCCTTCAACAACAGTCTGCATACCTGTAAGCAACATTTTTTAAATGGTTGTGCATGAAAAATTCAAGTTCTGGAGCAAGTTCTTTATCTACATTACCACCCAAATAGGCTTAATTAATGCCTTAAAAGCTATTAGTGTGCAACAATTACTGATTCCATTTCGACCCTCATGATTGAGGCTCTGCCTGTATAAAATCCACTCTGTATTTCTACAGTTCTTCTTTATCTTCTTCTTAGCATTCACCAGCGTCAAACTCTAATGGAAAGTTCTGGTTGTTCATCCACTCCTGGACTTTGGTCTTTATCTAGAACTTGGTGTGTACATGGTGTGTTTTACTTGTTCGTTTGAGCGGCCGGCGACATTGCATATATTCGAGCTTTCTCAGACTTCGAGGATGACATGAATTTACTTCATCTGTCACAGGAAGATGTTAACAGTTCTGAAACCATGGGACATAGGCTGCAGTCTCTCGTAGGACATAGGCTTATGCTGTGGGGTGGCAGGGTTGTTGTTAGGGCCAGTTCTAGATCTTCCGGGGTCATTAATAGCAGTCACATCATGTAATATAGAGCTTGCATCATTGCTGGTGAGAGCATCATAGACAATACTACCTGACACCCCTGTAACAGAGAGTCACACATGTGAAGGGTCAGCAGGCATGAATGAATGACCAGTCATGGTGTGCCTGGGCTAAGAATCGTTACTAGAAACTGTTTAAAGTATAAATGAATGTTTGAAAATAAGTACATAAGAATTTAAACAGGTTGCCACAAAACTGACATATTCAGCTGGGCCTAAAACCCTGCTAAAGCCAATTAACTGACTTTTCTAGAGTGTCGTGTTTACAGGACATATAATGAATGATGTTGGATGCATTCACTCTTGCACAAACATTTAGGAAAGCAGGATATGAATATGTTAGCTAAAAATAGCATTTAGGGGGTGTTTATTTTTTGGGGTGAACCAAACAGCTTTTTCAAAGCCCAGTTGTCATCAAACGTTCCTGTAAGCCTCAATAATAGAGGTCATGGGGTCGCAACATGAATCACAGATTGTTTTTAGGTCTGGGGAATGTATTCTATTTAATGCTTCACTTTGATTGCTTCGCAACTGACTTCGCAGCCACATGTACACAAAATTTAAAATCAGCGAATCAGCCATGTGCACATGGGGACTGGCACCTGAGACAACAGATCATTTCCTTCAAAACTGTCCCAAATACAACATATCAAGGCAAAACTTTTGGCCAAGAGAAAAATCGGTGCAAATCAAACTTTACCAGTCACTGAGTGAATTACAACAGGCAGTGAAGTTTATACTGGAGACAACATTGCAGATATAGATCATTTATTTCAGGCAAATGAAAGAAGAAGAAGAATAAACTTCACTTTGTGTTTACTGTTTACTCTTTTTCTATTTATCTATTTTTACATATTTCTATCTCTTTTTTATTTTGATGAACAAATTAATATGTAGATAAATATATATATTTTAAACAGTTCATTAGTGACCCATGTAAAATTGTTTTCTTTATTTTAAAGATTTTTTGTTTGGGGGGAGGGGGGGGGGGGAATTGCCATGAGGTCATGACTCATTATTTAGTATTCTAAGAGTGACAGGGTCAAAGCGTCTCATTGTAATTACTTGTTACTTTTGACCACTGTGTAAAGCTGTAAGTTTTGATTCACATTGAAGGTTTACGTTTCAATCTTTGTGCTGTTTCATTATTCTACAATTAATAAATGTTTCTGCTTGCATAGAAAAAATATTTTTGTGTAAATTTTTTTGCATAACAAGTGTGTTTTCTTGTTTAGTTCTTGTAATAATTAATATACATCTACATATCTACTGTTTGTACATTTTCTACTCATAAATAATGTGCCTACTTTTTTTTAAACTCTAGTTATAATTAATTTATATATGTAAGTCAGTAAAAGTCCCTTTTCCACGCCTTCAGGTGTACTAGGCATATTGGGCTAGACCTATATTTTATAAACCAGTCGGCACTCACTGGGTGAGGTGGTCAACATCAGGCTTGCCGCTTTTACTTCCCAGGACTGCACCCCCCCCCCCCCCCCCACCCCCCCCCCCACCCTCTCCAACAAAAAAAAAAAATGGCAGAACATTTATTTTTCTGTTATAGTCTAGAAAGGTTGAATGGAGTATCTATGAAAAAAAATACTACAGCCTCTCTAATGGATGAAAGTATGTTGTATTGTTCTTGTTTTATCACCCACCATTCTTGTGTAGTCTGCAGTGTTGAAATCGTAAAGAAAATTGCTACAGTCTTGTAAAGGGGCTCTTTGTTTACTTTTTTCTAAGTTCATTAATTAAAAGTAAAGTAAAGGACTCTTCAGTCATACTGAGTATATAAGGCTAGATATTTATTTTACAGACCTTTTACAGACCAATGGGCACTCAATGGGTGATGTGATCAGCATCATGCTGGCACCCTTGACTTCCCAGAATTATACTGGGTACCTATTTAAGGCTAGGTCGACCTGGGAGCCAAGGTAATATTGGAAGAAAAACAGCGGATGGCCTCTGTCAGGATCTGAACTCATGACTTTTATATTCGCAAATGAGCTTGTAGCTGCTACACCATGAAAGCTCCTTCATTTATTAAGCTGGTAATGTATTGATTTTAAAAATTCTTTTTTCAGCCTTACTTCTACTTTATGATGTCACAAACAAGACAAGCTTTGATAACGTCAGGGTAGGTGTACAGATTTGGTTTTCAGAGTTAATTTATAATATATATATATATATATATATATAATATATATATATATATATATATATATATATATATATATATAAATTTATATTTATATACTAGAGCTGCACTGAAATTCTTTACGTATTCGCTTCAGGTGCTGAATAGTTTACTTATTAAGTATTCGGTTTTCAGCTGAATACTTGCGATCAAGCTGAATATGTATAGTGGTTACATTACACGCGCTTCAGCATACACGGCAGCTGCTGCAGCCACTACAAATTATTTGTTATAATACTTAGAATACTTTCATTCCTAGTTATTAGTTACCACAGACTGACTGAAGGATGCAACTGTTTACTATTCTGTACTATATTTTGTGAAGTAAAAGTTCAGCGTACTTTTGACATTATGAATGTTCTTTTCTTTAGATATATTTTGTCCACTATACATCATTCGTATTCATATTCGGACAAATAGTTGGTCCCATTATTTGTATTTGGCTGAATAGTGATATTCACCTATTTGTTACAGCTCTAATATATACCTCTTTTTTTTTGCTTAACATTTTGTCCCCATGCAGGTCCTAGGCCTCCATTTTGGAAAAAAAAATAGACCCACTGCTCCTTGACAGCATGTCATAGGAGGCGACTAATTAGAGACTGTTTCCTTCAAAGCAGGAGAGTACATCTGCATGAGAGGCAAGGAACCAACAGTCTACATGCAGATAATCTGTAAAATGGATATGCATGCAAAACTCAAGTTCTGTATTGATCAAGAACAAAGTTCAAGAGTGGATGAACAACCAGAACTTTCTGCCAGAGTTTGCAGTCAGTAAATGCTAAGGAGAAGAATGGAGAAGTAGAAGAATGAAGAAGAAGAAGAGCATATGAGAATAAAAATTAAATGCATGCAATAGCAACAGTTGAGCTGGAAGCCTCGCAGGCTTTAACTACGGAGGATTTTATTTTAACGTGACTGGGCCTTGCTAGTCACACTCAACATGGCCTTGAATATTTAATGTTAAATTAAGAGTCGAAATCAGGGCACTCAGGACACTTCCATGAGTGCTCAGTCCCCATCGTCAGCAGCAAGCAAAGAGTTCCAATTCCGTTGGTACCAGTAACCGTCTGACTGTATATATCTGTCTCATTCTTTCTCTGAGTGTTGAGCGTCGGCCAGATCCCCTGGTAACTCCTCGCAGCGCCATTCTCCTTAGACCGTAATGATCTATCTGCGCTTCCTGTTCACAAAGGGCACTCACAATATCTAACTTGTCACATATCACGTGGTGCAGAGCCAGCCAATCTATCTGCCTGCTCATTTCCCAACACCCCGTCATAACCTGGAGAAAATATCCAAAGGATGCTAACTACATGGGACCTCTAGAGTTAGCATCACCATGAGCATCACCCCCCCCCTCCCTCCCCCAACCATGTCACAATAGAACACAGTCTGCATACAAATAATCCAGATCTGTCAAACCGATGTGCATGTGAAATTTCGAGTTGTGGAACAAGACCAAAGTCTAGAAATGGACAAAAATTAGAACTTTCCACCAGAGCTTACAGCCAGGGAATGCTAAAGAGAGCAAGAAGAAGATTTACAAAAAATCCTTGACTTTAGAATGCATATTTTTTTTCTGATTACAATACAATGCAAACCTGATAATGAAAACTCCCTGGGGACCCAAGAATAGTTCTTCTTATCAGAAATTCCTATTATCCAGGCAAGATTTCAAGCAGGAAAAATTACCAGGGTTAAATACATTGTTCTTCACAATAGAAATTCATTACATCCAAGAATCACCTTAAGAAGAATCACTTTAAGCCATCTGCACCGTATTTGAAAGTTGTAATTAATTCTTCAGTATAACTATTAAAAGGCGTGATGCTGTCCACATCACCCATGTTGTGCCGATTGGTTGTTATATGCCCTATATGCCTAAAGGCGTGGAAAAAGTTCCTTTAATTTTTACTTGCTTTTTACTTATGACTATTAAAAAGATATGGGTTCTGTGGCATACTTTTGATAATAAGGCAGGTTTTAGCTAATCAAAAACCACTCATCTCTGTCTTCCGTGTTCTATTTTTGCCATGTGAAATGTCATGGTGGACTGGACAGAACAGTGATTGGAGGTAAAGTTTCTGGACAATGAGGCAGAGGCAGAGGCAGACCTTTGTGAATGTGGATACAGGACATTAGAGATGCATTGGCTATGAAAGCATATAAGGCTGAAGAATAAGCTAGAGAAAGATAGACTTTCAGGTGAACTGTGATAAGTGCGATGATAAGTGTGATGATAAGTGCGATGATAAGTGCAATGATGAGTGTGATGATGAGTGTGATGATGAGTGTGATGTTCTGTAAAGAAACTGTTGATTCAAGATGTTTTTTTGCGTTACTTTTACTGCTGGTGTTCATTTATGATTGTTTGTATAATGAGGGGTTGTTACCTTTTAAACTGATTCATCAGTCATCAGTTCATGGAGGGGGGTGGGGGGGGGGGAGAGGGGGGGCTGCATGGTCTTGAGGCATGGTGTCCACTTCTAATGCTAGAGGTTTCAGGTTCGAGATCCTGTAATGGCTGGGATTTTTTCACATGGACTTGGACTTCTAGTAATTTCCCCTGGTCTCTGAATAGTGAAATCGGACACCCGTACTCATTGTTGTGCACATAAAAAATCCCTTGGCAGTTGGAAATAAAAAAGAGTAGCCTAACGGTGCTCCCCGGGCAAAAATTTGAAGTTAAAAATCTACCCTAAGTATTTCAGGATCCTCGCCGGTGCTACAGAGACTGTGCACTGTGCTGACCTTCTTCGGACTCAAACTTGAGTTAGAAGAAGAACGGAGCACTTGTGGGTTACTACCCATGTGCCATGATGTTGATCCATTCTTCAAACTTCAAACCGTAACTGATATATGCTTTTTCCATGACAGGCCTGGCTTGGGGAAATACATGACTATGCTCAAGATGATGTTGTTGTCATGTTGCTTGGCAACAAATGTGATGTAAACAGCGACAGAGTTGTTAGACGAGAAGATGGAGAAAGGCTGGCAAAAGTAAGATCTTCTCCTAAATCTCAGTTTTCAGTGTAAAAATATCATTATCAACTTAAATTTCATTCTTCATTGAGATTTTTCCATTTAAATCTCATTTTCTATTCTACAATATAAGTATCATTTGTTAAATCTCATTCTTCAATGTAAAAGTAAAATTGTCTACTTAAATTTCATTCTTTATTTTACAAGAGAAGTAACATCATTTTTTTTGGGTGTGGAAGTGAGATTTTCTAATCAAATCTCATTCTTTATTCTGCAACATAAATGAAACAATTTTAAAAAAGCTAGTTGCTCATCCTTTTGCAGGACACTGCAGAACCAACCCCAGCATTTTGTGTGTGCCTGTTATGGTTTTTCTAGGCAAATGTTAAGTTCAGTAGTTTGCCATTGCTGCTGAACGGTCAGCTCTTTGTACCACTGTCAAAATCAATGCAAGACAAACCGTCTGCAGCTGGGATTGAACCCAGCACCCCAGCATTAAAAAGTGTGTCCCCAATGCTTAAGCCACAGACACAGAAATAGGGTATTTTAAATCTCATTCTTGAATGTAAAAGTAAGACATATTAACAACCTATTTTTGTGAGACAAATAAGATTTTCTTATCAAATCATTCTTCCATAACAAAGTAAAATACTGGGCATAATGTAAAATATTCATAATAAACAACATATACAGCAATTATATACACAGACAGTATAACTAAATGTGTTTATATATTTTTTTTCCCAGTGATTGGCTGAATCTGTATTAAAATCGCCAGATTTCCCAGCAGACAATTGGCAGCCTGATCTTTTGTAATCATCTTCATCATCTTCATCATCAGATACCCTGCCTACTGGCATAGGTGTTCATGCATCTCCACAGACTCGGTCCATTGACCTCTGGATCATTTCCACCGATGATATCCCTCCGTGCCACTGTCACAATCCATCCTTCGTCATCTCTCTCGGTCTGCCTCTCCCTTCTCTACCGTTGATCTTCCTAGTCATCACAATATTCTTCAAAGCCCCTCTCCCTCCCCCAGTAACCAAAGAACAGTGCTTCTCTTTTCCTTATAGCTGTATATATATTGATCTTTTTCATTAGCTTCTTTCATGCAATCCTCATTAGTGTTTTTCTCTTAGTCCAAGAGATTCCTAACATTCATCTGAGGAACCTCATCTCTGTTGCCTCCAAGTTCTTTTTAATGTTTCCATTCACATTCCATGATTAACTGCCATACAGTAATATAGGTTCTACATAAGATTTTAGTACTCATTTTTAGACATCCAAAGAGAGGGACCTGTTGCACAAGATGTTCTTCATTCTGGGAAATGCAGTCTGAACCTAGCCTATTCTGCTATTAATTTATGACAGCATTATTATGACTGTACCCAAATATTTGAATTTATCAACTTGGATGCACTTTTTACCCTCTATTCTGGTATCGCACTGTGGTGGTATTCTTTCCTCTTATATAACAATTACCTCCGTTTTCTTTTTATTCAAGGACAGACCCTTTTTACACTCTCCCTCACTCATCATCATCATCATCAGGTGCCTTGCCGACTGGCGTGGGCGATCATGCCTCCCCACAATCCGTGATCTCCTGCAGCATGTACCAGTTCGTGTGCCAACACACTTTCATGCCATGCAACAAGAATCTTCTCTTGTTGTCTTCCTCTATCCCTCCTTCCTCAGATCTTTCCAGTGGTCACAACATGTTCTATTTTCCCTCTTCTCATAACATGGCCGAAAAATAATGACTGTCTCCTTCTGATGTCTGTGATAAGTTGTCTTCAGGTTCCCGCCTATTTCAAAACCTCTTGGTTGCTCTTTTTGGCTGTCCAAGGTATTCTAGGCATTCTTCTGTAAAACCACATCTCTAAGGCCCTCACTACAATGTCCACTTTCCTATCAAAGTTAATATTTGTCAACATTTTGACAAGTTCCTTGTGTTTCACCTTATCAAATGCTTTTGTGTAATCTTTAAAGCATAAATGCAAGTTCTTCTGCGTTTGAGTTTATCTTTCTATCAGTATTCTCAAAATATATATTGCATTGTTTGTTCCTTTTCCCTCCACAAAACTATATTGTTCTTGGCTAATTTGTGTGTGTGTCTTTTTTGTTCTTCTCATTACAATTCTTAGCAGAAGTTTGGTGGTATGATTTATAAGGCTGACTGTCTGAAAAACATCACAATTCATAACCACCCCCCCCCCCAACCGGTCACACAGGTGAAGCTATAGATACAGACTTATGCATTTCTGCAGGTAGGTGTCTGCTGTCATGAATATCATTGAACATTTTATTCAGACCTCTACTTCAAATCTATCCAGGTCTTCTAATTCTTCTACTGTTATTTCATCTGGTCCAGTAGATTTGTCTTTCTTCATATGTTTGATGGCATCATTGACTTCCTCTTTAACTCTTTGAGTCCCAAGGAGCGCATCATACGTGCATAGGTTCCTACCTAGAAGCCCAGTAAATGCAAGATGCGTTGATTTTGCGTTTCTCTTTACTACCTCTTAGGCCTGGGATGCTAGACCCTCTGGGACTCAAAGAGTTAAGTATATACCTTTCAGGTTAACAGAAAATACAAGTATTTGAAAATAGATCTTTTCAAACCATCCTTGGTATTCATACAGTGACCATTTTAAAAATGTCTATGCTCAGTACATTGGCAACTAGAATCTCTTTTAACAACAGTGACAAGATCAAGTCTGCAATAGTATAGACATATAATAAAATCTGTCCCTTTCTCCAGAATGATATTACATGGCTCTGTTGAGGGAAAGAGCAGAAGAGGCAGACCAAGAAACACTTGGATATGGAATCTAGTTAACTTGATGGACCTCACTTACGCAAACATCTGGTCTATTGTGTCTGACAGACAGATGTAACTGATCAGTTACTCAACAGCAACTGGTGACCCTTCTCTTCATCTTCTTCTTCTTATTATAATAATAATAATTATTATTATTATTCACGTTCAACAGCTGTAAACTACAATAGAAAATTCTGGTTGTTTGTCCACTTCTGGACTTGAGCTTTGTTCTAAACAATCTTTTTACAGACCTGGCTTGTTATATGATAACACTATGATGGTCTGTAAATATAGCTTGTTGTTGTTGTACAACCAAGGTGTCGTCCGGTCGTTGTTTAGTGTTCTCACTTGTCATGTTTAGACTCTCTCATGAACACTGCCACAGCTGGCATACAACTGAATTGCTTGTGATCAAGAAGTTTTCCAGAGGGTTGTTATGGGTGCAAGGTTCTGCAAAGGATATGCTACTGACTGACTGACTGTATAGCATTTTCTTATTTTTCTGTCTTCTCATAAAATAGCAACAAATACTGATGGCTTTTTGCTTCTGATGTTTGATATGTTGTCTTTAATTTTTATACATACAGGAATACGGGGTTGCCTTTATGGAGACCAGTGCTAAAACTGGCGTAAATGTAGATCTTGCATTTATGGCGGTGGCCAGGTAATTCAGTTTCCACTTTTGTCTTGTTCTGTGTTCTCCCTTTGAAAGTAGGTTGGCAGGTTGTGCTGTAATTTACAGCTAGGCTATATCTTCTCATTTTAGCCCAAAATATTAGAAAAGATCAATTGATATCTATATGACAGACGCTGTCTCTAGGGCATGGATGGTTAGGTTTTGAAATATTGTAGTCTATGATGCTGGAATGGAGAAGAGTTTGGAGGCAGCTTAGATTTGGTTCTTGGGAAGAATGATTCTAATACCTTGGACTGCCAGAAAAACCAACAATGATTGCCTGGAAATGGCTATTGAAAGTAGAACATTAAATACAACAATGAAAAGCAGACAAACAACGTTAATCATTTAATGAGAAAAGGATCAGTGGAAAATATTGTGATGACTGGAAAGATCACCGGTAGAAGAGGCAGAGGCAGACCAAGAAAATTGTTGGATGGCATGGAAGAATATCATCAGTGGAATTTATCTAAAACACCAAGGACAGAGACTTGAAGAGATGCATGAACCCCTATGCCAGCTGGCAGGGCACTTGATGATGATGATGATGATGCTGGGTTTAGTTGAGTTGAGAATCAATATCCCAGCACTCGGGACATTCCCATAAGCGTTTCCATCTTCAGCAGCCAGCGCAGAGTTCCAGTTCTTTAGTACCAGTAGCAGTCTGATTGTATATTTGTCTTGCCTTGCCTCTGAGCGTCAAGTATCGGCAAGATCCCTTGGTCACTCCTTGGTGGAACTTTTTTCTTCAGACCAACCTGACCATCCTTGTAATTTCTGGAACCCCATTGTAAAAGTTAAGGACCCTTTTTCTGTGTCTTTCAGGCATTTTGAGGTATATAGGGCTAGACCTATATTTTATAGACCAATCGGCACTCGGTGGATGAAGTGGTCAGCATCACGCCGGCTGCCTTTACTTCCAAGGACTGCACCTGGTAGCCACTCAAGGCTGAGTTGACCTGGAAGGCAAGGTAATTTTTGAAAAAAGTCCGGCCCCCGTCAGGAACTGAACCCATGACCTTCCGATCCTTCTAGCTGCTCCCTGGAACCCCACTGTAGGGGGCAACAAAATTATACACTCACTGTCTCCCTAACAAGCATGTCATAAGAGGACTAACTGACTGACTTTCTACCCCACCAGGACATCACACAAGCGATAAACACCCGATGACACAAAGTGCCACCATGCGGATGAGGATCGCCGTGGAGAGGTCCCAGAAACCGCGTTCAGACATTTGGCCATTTTGATGGCCTGCCTATATTGCGGCCCCTGGCAAAAGCCAGAGTGGGGCTTCAAATGACAAAAAATTTCGTCCTGAAAAGGACGAAACTGGATATTAGCATAAGAGGACTAACTAGGCATCTTTCTTTTAAGTTAAATGCGTCTGCCTGAGAAGTTTGTAACCAACAGTGTGCATACAAATAAGCCAGATCTGTAAAAATGGACTGCATGTAAAAGAACTCAAGTTATGGAACAAGACCAAAGTCCAGAAGCTGGCAATCAAAAATGACTTGCTG